CAAGCCGGTGATGGAGCGTTGGGAGACCCCCTACATGCACGCGCTGGCGGCCGCCGCCTCCTCCAAAGGTAGCCCCTGCCGGCCGCGCGGGGGCCAACCCAGGCCGGGGCCGCTCGGACCCAGGGCCCGCCTGCTCTCCGGCGGCGCGCATCGGAGCCTCTCCGCCTCTTTCCTCGCCGGGGAACTGGGGCTGCTAACAGGGGCAACGGGGGAGTCCTGGGGCGCCGCGGGCGCCCTGAGTATCGGGATCTTCCTCTCCGGGGGTAGTGAGGCTCCGACGCCGGGATGAGGACGGGCTGGGTCTGGGGAATGGACGCTCAGACGCAGAACTCAGCCTGGGGTCGGGGTGAGCGGGGTGGCGGCGACCCGGCGAGGTGCTGCCCAGGCGCCCTCGCCCAGGAGTTGCGGGAGGCCCGCCCCAGCTAAGAATAGCTCGGGGAAAGCTGAGGCTGGGAGACAGCTGTCAGGGGTGACCCTCGTCACCTGGCGTCAGAGCCCACGGGGTGCCGAGGGCTCCCCCCGGTCCTCCAGAGGCCAGGCGTGCCACCTCTGGGCCTCTGTGTTCCCACCTGGCAAATGGGCACATCCAGTGTCCCTGCTTGGTTAGGGCGTTTCTCTCCTCCTCCCTCTTTGATCCATTGGGGTCCAATCCCCGCCCCGCGCTGTCCCAGCCTTGAATCCTGGGCCTTGAATCCTGGTGCTCCCTTGTCCTTACTTTGCTCATTGTTGGGGGGCAGGGGGAGTATCCAAATCAAGAGATAAGCGCCACCAGTGCAAACAGCCTGGGCCAGGGCTCAAAGTACAGGCTCTGACCTTCCCCCGGACTGGCCTATAAGCCGCTGTCCATGGCTTCTCTGGCAGGCCACCCTCTCTGGCTGCTGGCCAGGGCCCACACTGTTCCCTCTCAGGGCTGCTGTGTTCTGTCTTACCCCCCCCACCTCTGCTCTGCTGTGCCGTCCAGTTCTTGTGGCAAATATTTCTCTGTGCTGAGGCCCTGCCCCTGCGCCCCCTCCTCCAGGCAGCCTCCCCAGCCCCTCCCAGTGAATGAGGCCTGGACTCTCTGTCTGCCCAGGGGGCCGGGTCCTGGAGGTGGGCTTCGGCATGGCCATCGCAGCCACCAAGGTGCAGGAGGCCTTCATCGATGAGCACTGGATCATTGAGTGCAATGACGGCGTCTTCCAGCGGCTCCAGGATTGGGCCCAGCAGCAGCCCCACAAGGTGCCCAGCTCTGCCCGCAGCCCCTCAGCCCTGCCCCCAGAGGCGGTTGGGGACTGGGGTAGTAGCAGATAAATGGAGGAGGTGGTCTCCCTTGGGAGTTCCTCTGCCCCACCCCACCCCCCGAAACAGGTGGAGAAATCCTGGGTCCTCAGCCTCCTCTTTTCCGCCCCTGCACCAAGGTGGTTCCCTTGAAAGGCCTGTGGGAGGAGGTGGCACCGACCCTGCCAGACAGTCACTTTGATGGTGAGAGGGCTCTGGGAGCTGGGAAAGGGGAGGGCCTCTGCCTGGATTTCCTTTGCTTGTGGAGGGACCTCTAAAGAACACATCACGGGGGTGGCAGAGCCTGGGGGTCAGGGACAGACACACACACAAGGGCCTGGTACTCAGGTGCCTGGACACCTCAAGGAGGGACCAAGTGGGACACAATTCATAGAGCAGCCCAAGCACAGTGAACTCTGGGGCTCCTGGCCGTGTTCAAGTCCCGCTTGCAATCGCAGCCACCATCCCGGTGCTGCCGCCACCTGGCCCTGACCACGTGGCTTCCGTCCTCCCGAGCAGGGATCCTGTATGACACGTACCCGCTGTCTGAGGAGACCTGGCACACACACCAGTTCAACTTCATTAGGGTAGGATCACTGGTGGTGGGATGGGGTCTGCCGGCCACAGGGTGGGGATCAGCCTGGGGGGGCATCTGTCATCCACACAGAGGGCCCCTCTCCTTCTGCTGTTCCCCTGACCTGCCAAGACCCAGCAGGTCCACTGGGGATGCCTCTGCCCACACCCAGACCTCCCTCTTGACCACTATCCCCCCTCCCAGGACCATGCCTTCCGCCTACTGAAGCCAGGGGGTGTCCTCACCTACTGCAACCTCACCTCCTGGGGAGAGCTGATGAAATCTAAGTACTCAGACATCACCACCATGTTCGAGGTACCACAGTCTACTGCTCCCTGCCCTGCCCCACTCCCACCACAGGCAGCTTTGGGTGGGGAGGCAGCTGGAGCCATCTGTGACAGGGAGGGTCCCTCGCCTCCCCTGAGAAACCAAGCAAGGTCCCTCCCTGGCTCAAGGACCTTCAGTGGCTCCCCAGTACCCTTGGGATTAGGGAGCCCAGGCTCCACACCCCAGCTGGAAAGCCCACCGGCATCCCAGAGCATCTCATTAATGCAGCCACCTTTGTCCGCTCAATTCCCTCTGCCTGGATGTGCAGGTGGGCAGCCTGGTGATGCCCGGTGATGGATAAAGGCCTGATAAGAGGATGCCCCCTAGGAAGGGTGGGTCACAGGGTATCTCATGAGGCCCAGGGCCCTGGAGGTGACTTGGCTCCTCCCTCTGGCCAGGAGACCCAGGTGCCTGCCCTGCTGGAGGCAGGCTTCAGGCAGGAGAACATCCGCACGCAGGTCATGGAGCTGGTCCCGCCACCTGACTGCCGCTACTACGCCTTCCCGCAGATGATCACACCCCTTGTCACCAAGCACTGAGCCCACAGGCCACCGGCTCACAGAGCCCCATCCCCCAAGCCCCTACTCAGTGCCTTTGTTGGCTGGGGGTGCGGGCTCTGGCCTCTCACTGCCCTGGTCGACTCACGTCAGCAGGCTCCCATAACCTCTGCCACGGGACTACCTTCCCCTCAGGGTCTTGGGGATGAAATAAATACTAACAGTGGGCTGGGCCAGTCGGCAGCGTGACACGGAAGTATGCTCGCACTTACTCTCCCTGTCCCTCCAAAAAGTAAGAGGTGGGCCTTCAGCGAGATGGTGGTTTGCCCCACTCCAAAGACTGAACCTGCCTGTGACCCCCCCGGTGCCCATGGCGGACACTGCCCATCACCCCCTGATGCCACCCACCCCCCGTAGCAGGGACGAGTGCACTGAAGTGGACGGACACTCTCATCCTTCCCTCCTTCACCCCCTGGCGGGCACTGGGGTCCTGAGAGGAGGTGGAACTAGGTCAGGACTGCACAGAGGGTGGCAGCCCCAATGTCCAGACACTCGGGCCACTCAGGAGGGAGGGCCTCTGATCCCACCCAGTCAGGCTGAACCACAGAATTAAGCAGAGCCTTTCAACCTGGCACCCCTCCCAGCAGCATCCTCTGCCCACCCCCGGGCGTGCAGTGTCCCTCGCCCGGCACCGCGACGCCGCTGTACAGCGCTCGCTTCCTCAGACTCCACGCCCCTCCAGCCCCAGTGCAGGGACACCCTGCAGCCCAGCTGGTCGCCCCAGTGCTGTCCGCTTCCCCCCGACCAGCTCTGGGACCCATCCACTCCCTGTGTTTATGGCAGGGCCAGGGGCCAGGCCGAGTGCAGGTCCAAGGAGGGGCCAGTGTGGGCCCCCAGCTGAGCCCAACCACCCACCTGGGGCCTCCGTGTCTCCACACACAGGAGAGAGAGGCTAACGGGCCCGGGCAGTCCCCCGCCAGCTCCCAGCCCACACAGCACGCGGCGCAGGCTGCTGGCTGGAGTGGGTCTGTCTGGTTTATTGGCCACCTTCCCAGAAGATGTGCAGGCAGGGAGCAGTGGCGGCGGCGGTGGCAGAGGAGAGGGGCGCAGGCGGGGAGCAGCGGCGCTACCTGCGATACCAGATCCGCAGCCTCTTCTCCCGCTTGATCTTCCTCTGCAGCTGCAGGATGCCATAAAGCAGGGCCTCGGCCGTGGGCGGGCAGCCTGTGGGCGGGGGCAGCATGGGTCTGCAGCCGGCCGGGCCGGGCCACCTCCCAGGGCAGGGAGGGCCAAGGTGGGGCCCCACCCAGCACCCCCTTAGATCTGCACCCAGAGGGCCAGGGGGCTGGGCCCATCACAAGGAAGGAGCCAGCAAGGTGAGTGGCGGGGGCCAGCTGAGGCCAGTGCCCAAGCTCCTGACACTAGCAGCCGGGGACCCCGGGACTGACCTCCCGGCTGAGATATGGGTGGCGGGGGGGTCCAGGCTGCCCTGTCCACAGCCCTCCCTCCATGTGACTTAGCTTGGGACTGAGGACATGTGCAGGAGGCCTGCTGACCCCAGGCCATGATGGCCCCTGGTGAGGACCCTTGGGAAGGTCTGGGGACAGATGAGAGGGAAAAGAGTGGCCAGGTCAGGCTGGGAGGCCCACACGGTCCACAGACTGAGGAAGGAAGCCCCCACGGACAGGCTCCCCACAGTCCTGCCCCCAATACCCCAGCCAAGAGGAGCAGGAACCACCCGAGACATGACAGGCCTAGAAGGGCCAAGGAAACAGCTGTCTTTCGTGGTCATTTACTTATAGCTGACCCTGCCCCATCTGCCCTGGCCTGGGGCTCAGTCCTAGCAGGACTACCCTAACAGCCCACTGTGGATGCAGAAACTGAGGCTCTGAGAGGAGATGTGCCTGAAGTCAGGTGTCAAACAAGCAGCAAAGACCAGGGATCTGGCTCCTGGTCAAGGTTAACAAGCCCACAGAGTGGACTCCTATGCACCCCTCAACGCCCAATAGTCTGCATCAGGCTCTGTCCCCCACAGCCTGAGGGCTCCCCCAGAGCCTGGCCCAGTGCTGCCCCAAACAGGTCTGGAGCCTGGAAAAGCACTCAGATATCTGCAAAATGCCCCACAGATCAACGCCATTTCCCAATTCACTCTAACCTGGGGTCAAAACCTGTTTTTCTGCCTTCTGAGACAGACATGCCAGAACATAACTTAAACTTCTGGACGACCAAGAATCATGACATGGAATGTACTCTCCTTTCCAGAAACTTGGGGTTGAGCTTTCTGTGCCTGCACTAAGAGTGCGGTACAAGATGGCCAAGAACAAGGAGTCTCTGTCCCCTGTCCCCAGGGAAAGTGACCCCTGACCACGGTCGGGGCCGACGCCCTGGGCTGTCACCCCCAGCCAGCATGGGAGTCTCACAGGGTGGCCGGACAAAGAAAAGAACACCCAGTGAAACGTGAACTTCAGGCAGATTCAGGTCCTTTCTGTAGTGTAAGTGTATCCCAAATATTGCATGGAATGTACTTATACTAAGAAAAAACAATAGTCCTTGTCTTCCTGACATTCAAGTTAACTGGGCACTCTGCACTTTCATTGGCTAAATCTGGCGACTCTGGCAATCCAGGGTGCCAGGGGTCTCACCACCCCACACCCACATGAGAACCGGTAGGCATGGTTCTTGGGTTCCAGGGAACTTTTTGTTTTTTTATCGCATTTCTTGGGTTTTGTTTCTATTAGGTGGAACCACACGGAACCATCACAGCCCTCGTCTGCCGTCTGGATAATGTTAAAGACGCTACAGCCATGGAGACTGTCAGGGGACCCGAGGGACAGGCGGGCTGCCACTCTTCTTCTTGGGCCCAAAGCTGCTCCTCCTGGAAATGGTGGGAGCCTATCATCTCAGCAGGGGCTTCCAGGAACCGGGTGGGCGGCTTACCTGGGACATAGATGTCCACGGGCACGATGCGGTCACAGCCCCTCACCACGGAGTACGAGTAGTGGTAGTAACCGCCTCCGTTGGCGCAGCTGTGGGGGGAGCGCCGGCCCTGAGCGCCGCTCAGGCCACCCTGGCCTCTCCTCCTCCACGCCTGCCCCCCACCCGTACCCGCCTCCAGCCGCAGCAGGTGCTAGGCGGTCAGAAAGGGGCAAGACCAGGGCAGAAGTCACAGCAAAGACAGACCCTTGGGGGCAGAAGCAGACGGGCCCGCAACACACGAGCTCAGGGAGGGAAGCACAGGAGGACACACAGCGCGCGACTCCGTGGGTGTGAGGCGTCCGGAACAGGCCAGTCCCCAGACACGGGGAGGGGCTCCTGGCTGTCAGGGGCTGGTGGGGTGGGGGTGACTGCTGATGGGGACGGGGCTTCCTCTTGGGGTGATGGAATGTTCTGGAACTAGACAGAGCTGACTGTTGCACAGGATGAATGCACTAAAACCCACGGAATTGTGCACTTTGAAAGGGTGAACTTTATAGTATGTGGATTCTACCACGACAAAAAAAAGTTAAGTGACTAAACAGCTTTTACTGACAGGGAGAAGTGGCTATGTGGTGAGGAGGCCGGCGTCCCCGGGTCATGGGGCAAAGGACCAGGACGGGTGGTGGGGACAGGGGAGCGCCTCAGACAGCACAGGAGGGCGCGCGCTGGACGCCCTAGATCCAACAGAGCACAGGAAAAGGCAGCAGAGGCGCTGGCCGGGCTCTCACCCCGCCCGCCCCACTCACCTCCCCATGGACACGACGTAGCGGGGCTCGGGCATCTGGTCGTAGACCTGGAAGAGACAGAGGGTCTGCCCGTGGCTCCAGCCAGGGTGGCGGGAGGAGGCGGGCGGGCAGGGGGCTGGGCCCACCTTGCGGAGCGCCGGGGCCATCTTGTTGGTGAGCGTCCCGGCCACGATCATCACGTCTGACTGGCGCGGGCTGGCGCGGAAGACGACGCCGAAGCGGTCCATGTCGTAGCGCGGAGCCGCCATGTGCATCATCTCCACAGCGCAGCAGGCCAGGCCGAAGGTCATGGGCCACAGGGAGCTCTGCGGGGCAGGGTGGGGCACCCGTGAGTGACGCCTAGCCCACCGTGTTTAAGGAAAGTGGGCGACGTCACACAGCACAATCTCGATTCCTCGCCTTCTGGGAGAACACCACATTAGACCCCCCCCACAGTGGCCCTTTGACCTCCAGACTTCCAAGGCCCCTAGGACCCTGGTCCCCAGCCCAGGAGCACCCAACAGGAGAGTAAAGTGAGTTACGCCTAAGGGTCAACACTTCCCAGCAGCCACATTACCAAAAAAGGGAAACAAACACAAAAACCCAAAGCCGAGTGAAATCCATTTGAATAATACAGCTCACAACCCTAAGCCCAGTGTACCCTAAACCCTATCTTCTCGACGAGGCACGGGCTACTCCAAGTGTCCAACGGCGCAGATCCAGACCCGAAGCTCAGCCCCTTTGAGCACCCTGTTCCCAACACCTCCTGGACTCAAAGTGCCAGTGCTTCCAGGAAGCCCTCCTGGATGCCCTCAGCTGCCCTCAGACCGTTCCCAAAATCCTTTGGTGCCCGACATCCCCTGAAGCTGTGCCCTCCGCTCGTCCGTGTCTAGTCTGGGATCTGGACGAGGCCCGTTACCCTGTGCAGGTGACACAGCTGGGGCCGCACAGTGGGCAAGGGCTGCCCAACACAGCACGGCCACCTGGTTGTAGCCTGAGTGGCCCAACCCTGAGAACACATGGCCACAGTGGACATTGGCACCCTGGCGCCGTGGGCCTGGAGGGCCGGACACACAGACAGCAGACGCAGTCTAGGGGAGACTGTTACCAGCCTGTCCTGGCCAGACACTCCAGACACTGAAAGGAGCTACTGTCCCGGAACACAGGACACATGTCCCATGGGAGACACGGACAAGTACACAAGCGCACAGACTGTCCCCCAGCTAACACCGGGGGCGTGGCGGGGTGGGGCGGGGCTTAGGGTGTTTGCTGGGAAGGAGCTACTGTTCTCATTAGAGATTACTTTTCAGCTAAAAAAAATTAGTTCTACGTTAAAAGAGGCAAGAGAAGGGTGAACAGAAGGCAGAGGGAGGAGAGAAGGGGGTGGGTTGTCATGGGGGCTGAGGGACAGATGGGGGCAGGACCTGGGGTAGGGGGTCCTGGGGCAGAATCAAAGACACAGGGGTCTCCATACGAGGGGTGTCCGCCTGCCCCGTGGCCCTGCGTGAGTGTGGGTGAGCACGCAGCGGGGAACGAAGGACACAGACAGGGCGGGGGCTCACCCGGCGGGCCCAGTTGATGAGGTCATCCAGCTTGGCCACCACATACTCGCCCCGGCTGCTGGGAAGTGCGGCAGGTTTGGGGACCACAGCTCCGGCCTGGGACACGGCAGGCTGAGTGCTGGGCATGGGACACAGCACGGAAAGTGTCAGCCAGGCAGCCACCCCCAGGGACCCCACCCTGGGGCCCAGCACAGAACAGCCTCTCAGAGGGCAAGACCAGCCACACGAGGTCACGGCAGGTCCCAGGAGCAGCACAGGGAGGGGCTGTGGAGCCGGGGTTTGCAGTGTCCCCACATCCAGGCCCAGGTCAGGATCCAGGAACGAAGGACCCAGTGCACATGCCTTGGCCACCTCGCTGCAGCCCCTGTAGGACCCTGTCCCCTCAGGGACTTGGCTTCTCCATCTGGAAAACACCAGGTCTGACACCCTCTCTAGTGAGGGTCCTCTGGTTTGGAGACATGCAGGAATCAGCCTGGACATGCAGGAGGGAGCTGGGCAGGACTCCGAGGGCAGGGACCCTGTCACGTGGTAGGAGGACCCCAGAGTCGCCCTGGACCGCGGCTGTGCTGGGGTGGGGTGGGGAGGGTTTTCAGGGTGCCTGTGCTCCTGGGAAGGCCGGCCTCACCTGCTCAGGCTGTCGGTGGCCACACTCGAATGGACACTGCACACCTGTGCAGCCGCACCCACATGGGAGCTGCAGGGAGATGGGCCACGCGTGAGAGGAGCCAGGGTTGCCCTGACATGCTGTGACAGGGGCCACCCTGGGGCAAAGATGGGGAAACTGACCAGGGGCCAAGTCTGGGCCTCCATGTGTTTTTACAAATAAAGCTTTATTGACACACAGCCACACCCATTCCTTTCCTTGATTTCTGTGGCTGTTTGTTCAGAGGCAAGGCCAAATACAATTACCATCTGGCCCGTTAACAGAAAAAAATCCCCCAATCCTTGGTCCAGAGGATGTCTCATTTTCATTTTATACTTCCCTCGTTTTTTCCGTTTCCCTTTGCTTTACGGTGAATATGTATTTTATTCCTGGGAAAAGGGCATTATCAAAACAAAGTCAGCCCCAATCCATGCCCTCCTGGAAGCCCCGACTCCCGTTCATCAGGAAGACCTTCCCCTTAGAGCTGCCTCGTCCCTGATCCCACGGCACTGGGGTTCGAGATCGGGGCTCCGTCTACACAGAGGGCCTGGCAGCCGCCTGCCTCCCCATCCCAAGGACGCCTGCATGGGGCTGCCACCTGAGCACACGTGCCACATGCCTCCCTGCGACAGGTATCAACTGAGTTCTGAGGGCACCAGGGCAGGCAGACATGGGTCTGAATCCACCACAGGAAACTGTTCCGAAGAGGGGCCTGCACGTCTCCTGCTAAAGAGTAGACTGCAAGCCCCCGTGGCCTTCGGCAGCGGCTGAGGGTCCCTCCCGCATCTGAGGCACTGATACCCTCCTCTGAGCCTGCCTTGCCAGGGCCTCACTGCAGGTGGGCAGGATCAGAGGTGCAGGCACTCACCGCAGAGCGAGGACTGGGCGGAGCAGCCTGGGAGCTGCGGAGAGAACCACAGTGGGGGGGTCAGTGAGCTGCGGGCAGCACCAGAAACCACCAGCCAGCAGAGTCCAGCCTCCAGTGTTTGTACAGCAGACACCACCCCACCCCGCCATACACCCTCCCTTTCACCACTGTCTGTTTAAATTCCATTTAAGAAACTTTGGTAAAAAGCGATCGTTCAAAATATCAACCAGACAGTGTCATTCTCCTGCTTAAAACCCTACAACCTATGGAAGAAAAGCCACACTCCACACCAGGGCCCTCTTCCCTCCTCAAACAGGTCAGTGTCGTTCCTGCCTCAGGGCCTTTGCACTTGGTGTCCCCACTGCCTGGAGGGTCCTGCCCACACATGCCGTGCTGGCCCTTCTCACAAGGCAGGCTTCGGCTCAGACAGCTGGGTCTATACTGGCTCCCCAGGCCCTCTGAGTCCTATCACCCTGTTCCATCTCCATTAGCAAGGCTCCAGGCCCTGGGCTGGGAGTTCTAGGGTTTCAGATTCCGGGCACGGAAGACAGGTTAACTGCCCAGGCCTGGACTCTTGTCCGAGCTGCCATTCCCTGAACCTCAGCTTCCCCACCTGAAAATTCAGGGCTTTGGATGAGCTCACAGCACAGTAAAATGCCCTTCACCTCTGAGGGGATTCCAGCGTCTGGACCAGGCACTTTAGCAAGAGGCCCCTGGTGAGGATTCAGTAGACTGGTGAACTTGCGTGGCAAAGGAAAATACCCTCCTTTCGTCACCAATGTCTTACTGAAGATTGGCCTTTCCTTAAATTCTGACGACAAACAGCTAACCACAGCAGTCTCGGCAGGACCGAGGCTTTTCACCACCAGCAATCACGGTGGTTTCCTAACCGCGACACAGAGGCTGCAGCCGACTCCGGTCAAGGAACGTGTTCACTCCTCACTCCCAGTTTGGAGACAGTATCTTCACAACCGTCTCTCAGTAGAACCGCCCTCCTTCGCGGCCCTACGGATTTCATCCCATGCGTTTAATCGCTAATCCGAGGAGGAAAAGTCGCAGGAGCAGCCCGGTTTAGGACGCCTGCTCTGCGGGCGACCGTCACGTTCCCGGGGGTGGCAGGGCGCCCTGGGGTCGCGTCCCTGCCCGGCCAGGCCGCGCGACCTCCAGTGGTCCCGGCCCCTCCCTGGGTCTCAGTTTCCTCGCCTATGCAGGCGCAACCGCGCGCCACCTCCTCCCGGGAGCTTCAAGGGCAGCATCCGCGGGCGAGCCTGGGCCCCTCCAGCCCCCACCCCTGCTCCCCGCCGAGGCTGGGAGGCTGCACCGCCCCCCGCCTCCACCTCCTCCTCCTCGAGCAGCCGCGCGGGAAGGCGCCCGGAGCGAGCCGCGGCCCCGACCCCAGCGCCCCGACCCGCTCACCCGCCAGCGCCGCCATCTTGGCCTCGGCCTTCAGACAACCTCTACAGTCCGTCCGCTATAGCTCTCCGGGTCCCTGGGGCCGTCGCCCAAAGCGGCTCGGCTGGTGTGCGGAAACCGGAACCCGGGCGGGGACGTTCCGCCTGCGCGCTCGCCCCTCGCCGCACGTCCCTGGACGCCCCCGAGGGATAAAAGGACTTGCGGGTGCGGGCGAGCATTCTAGCCAAAGCAGGGGAGCCGCCCACTACTTTCTTGTTCGAAACAAAAAGCACAAATCCGTCCCTGGGTGGGCTCGAACCACCAACCTTTCGGTTAACAGCCGAACGCGCTAACCGATTGCGCCACAGAGACAGTGCTACTCCCCAGTTGCACGCGTGAGCCTACGAGGCATGCGCGGCCCGCGCGAGGGGCCCGAACTACGTCTGCGCACGGGCTGCGCGGCGCGGGGCGGAGTCGGGGCGGGAACGACCCCTGCCGCCCAGCCGAAATAGCTCAGTTGGGAGAGCGTTAGACTGAAGATCTAAAGGTCCCTGGTTCGATCCCGGGTTTCGGCAAACATTTTGGCGCCCCCAGCGACCATCGTTCGTTTGGACTCGGAACTGATCCAGCTGCTCCCAGCTTCCCGTAGCCAGAACGTGGGGGTCTTTACCTCCCCAGAATATTCTCCATGCTGCAGATGAGGAGCTGGGCTGCTGGCTCCTACCAAGGCGAGAGGGTTTGGACAGAACAAGGCCTCAACCCAGGCCCCACCCCCAAAACTATGATTCCAGCCCAATGCTCCCCCCAACCCCATCGCCTTTCCCTACCCTCATTTCCAAAATTTTTAAAGTGGGAGAATTAGAACGAATGCTAATTGTAAAAACGGACACTACTCAACACTAAGAGTGGCAAGACGGAGTTTGCAAGAGCACCTTCCGCTCAGATGGCGTTTGTGACCATCCTGCTGGATCCCTGTATTCTGCCCATTTTACACATAGAGAAACTGAGGCTGGAAAGGGCGAATGCAGGTGAGCAGCAGCAGGGCTGGGTCCTGGCAAGGACCACCCCAGGTGTGTCCTGGATCCCAACTGCGTGAGGATGCTGAACAGAGCCGGGCCAGGTCGAGGCTCTCAGGCACTCGAGGTCCGGGGAAGGGCGCATCAGCATCCCAGTCTGCACACAGGAGAAAAGAGCAGGGTGGCCCGAGGGCCTCTGTCCACAGGACTCTGACACCTGCCATGTGCAAACCTTCCTCATCCTCAGTTCCCACAACTGACTATGCTGTGGGGCTGTTTTTTGTTTTTATTTAAATAAACTTTGTACTTTAGAATTATTTGATTCAGGGAAAAGTTGCAAACACAGTAGTTTCCTGGCCCCAGCACCCAGTCTGCCCTACTGTTCACTTCTTACACTGATGTTAACAATTCATGAGCCAACGTGGATACATTCACTAACTCAAGTCCCGGCTGTATTCAGACGGTTTTTCCCTGATGTCCTCGCCCTGGGAGCCGAACCCTCAATCCCACCAGAGCCTTTAGGTGGTGCAGCCCTGGGGCACATCTGACTGGGACCTCATGAGACCACAGAACCACCCATCCAGCCAAACTGCTCTTGAATTCACAACACAGAGACCATGAGAGGCAGGTGGCTGGAAAAGGCTGTCTCCAGCCTCCAGGGCCTGGGTCAGGCAGGGAAAGACAGCGAACCAGGAGGGGCAACCAGCATGTCAGGCTGAGGGAGTGGCTGGGGAGGTAAGAGCCTGGGTCAGGACCCTGGGGTGTCACGGGAGAGCCCTGAAACGGGGAACCTGCCCCACAAGAAGCAGGTCTGATGGGGCAGGGAGGGAGGAGGGGGACCAGCGGCTGGAGGAGGCGGCGCCGGCTGGGCACAGGAAAGCCCGAGCAGTACAGGCTAATGGGGGGGGGGGCAGGGATCCTCTGCACCGCACAGACCTGCTTCTGACTTGAGATTCTCACTCCGTGTACTGCTTTTTAAGTCAATTTTGTAGATAAACGGGGGGCTTGGAGAGGTGCCGAAGTGCAGGAAGGAAAATACCCCTTCCAGGAACTGGTTCTGCTTAAACGTGACTGGGGGGCTGACTGTCCCTCGAGCCATCTGGGCAGCAGAAAAGGAAACCCACTTGAGAAAAGGCAGCCCCGGGCCTCGGGTCTGGCTGAAAGGAGGTGTAGGGACGGATGGGCTGGGCGCGGCAGGTAGCGGCCAGGGCAGCGGTGTAGGCCCTGGGAGGGGAAGGAACACAAGGACGGCGAGGAGGCCATGCAGAGGTGTGGCCGGCTGCAACTCCAACCGGACAGAGCCCAGGACGGCCGAGGGGAGACCCCTGTGGAGGGAGGGAAGAGGATGGGGGAGCAGACCACAGGCGGCCGGTGGGTGCCCCAGCTGCACCCCGAGTCGTGCTGGATGCGGTGTCTTTTTGATGTTTCAGAAGCAGCCCAGGGCACTGTCTTCCCAGGGGGGCTGTGGCCACCTCGCAGGCCCTTCTGGAACGTTCCTCACGTGGCGTGTTAGGGCAGCTGGCTCTGCCCTCCCAACACGCTGCCCAACACCAACCAGGGTATCAACAGACTCCCACCCCCAGCACTGCCAGCCCCACTGGCTCTAGGGCGCAGTTTTAAGGCAAACGTCCTCAGAAGCCAGACAACGTGGACACAGGGAGCGCCGGGAGCGGAGACACCTGCGGGCATGGGACTGGGAGCAGGGGCCCAGCATGCACCCGCGCCGCAGACCTGGCAGGCATCCACTCCACTGGGTGAACTTGCGCACTGAGGAACAGGCTTCAGGAAGCGGCCATCAGGGACAGCGCAGCTTGCCTGAGCAGAGGCGGGCTGTGCGCGGGCCCGGGCGAGAAGAGGCAGGGCTGCGAAACGGTGTTTAATGTCAGTCAACGGCTCAGCTCCACAACCAGAGCTGGGCACAGAGACACACAGAACACTTCACAGCAGCACTGTGCTCCTGCCAGGACCCCCACCCACAGGCCCCCACTCTCCACCCCAACCCATCTTGTGGTGCTCGCTGTCCAAGGGTCGCGCGGTTGGACTTTTCTAGAAGGGAGCGGGCCACAGCAGTGAGCTGGGAGCCCCTCAGGCCAACCAGGGCAGACTCCGCAGCGGGGCTGCCAGAGCTCGCCCTTCTCAGGCCTGCGGATGCGATGCTGAGTGCACGGCGACCACGCGGCAGGGGCTCAGGACTGGCCTCGCGGCCTCACCGAAGCGTAAGTGCTCCACTGCGGGTGCCAAGCTGCGTCCCCAGGGCCGGGGAGCCGCCCTGGGCACCTCAGCACTGGG